GACAGAAAACAATATTTTTAATTTGCAAACACTTCTCAGAATGTATTTTAGGCCTATTAAAGATTTATGATGTAACTACTGAAAATCAGAACTCACCACTGCTATTAAAAACTTCAGCATGATGTAGAAACACTCCACTTGAGGGGGGATTAACAGTTATCAACATTAGCTTGTAGCCTGTTATCTTCTCCTTAAGGAGTTAATTTTGTTTTATAGGCTTTAGCTTGGCAGTACAACTTTCAAAGTGAAAAAATCTCTGTATTTACGTTAAAAGAGGTTGTTTTGAGGAACTGCATGAAAGTCATCGTCGTCTGTGTCAGCTTTTAAGTATATTTATTTTGGGGGCTCTTTCATCTTCCTTTGTGGAACATTCAGGCTTGAACATTGCTTACAAAGGAAGAAAACGACTCTTGCTTCCAAGCGTGAGTGCACTGGCTTACTTCCTGTCTTTGGTGAAGCTGCTGCTTCAAATTTCTGTGTTACTCTAATTCATAACTGTAAGTTTAATGCAGTGGGCACAATTACAGTAAATTTATGATGCATTTTGATACTGGGAGCGTGCAAGAAGTCAGCTATGCACTTGTAATATGTAAGTTGGATTGGATTCTCAAATTCCTCAAACGATGGGATTGTTTTCAATGTGTGAAACAGATTTGTGGCATAGTTTCATATTTGATTGTCTGAAATTCTCATTGGATTCTGGAGGGTGTATCTTCAGGCTATTATACTACACCTAGATATTTAAAGCTTAAAGGAAAGCCTTAATTAGTTTTATCTGCCACGTGATTTTGTGGAAGGATTAGAGGCCTGAATGCTGCTGTATGTGCTTGGTAGCTTACACAAGCACAGTGCTCACACTGCTGGAAGACCCAGGTAAGAAGTTAGTAGGAATTCTTTCTCTAACCTGTGTCTGCTTTTTATACCCAGTAATCTTTGGCCAGCTTTTTACATGTACATCTTTTGCACATTTCTTCTCTCATGCTGGTAACTCTCCACCTCCTGACATTTTCCTTTTCACTCCTGTGATCATTTTTCTCGCTTATTTTCTGCCCTCCCTTTCCCCTCCCCGTTGCCTTTTCACCTCAAGAAAAAAGGGCAATATTGCGGTCTACAGCAAGTTTACTTCCTCACCTGCTTCTCTGGTGACTGGAGCTGAAAAGAAAGATCTGTGGGTTTGGTGCTTGCTAGCCACTGGAACAGGAAGGAACACTCCATTGACAGCTGAAGCAAATATGAATCAGCCTAGAGAGGAATCACATACCAGTAGTTGGTAACAACACGAAAGCAATTTCTTTTTTTATTCACCTGTATGCTTCACTGCCTGATGAAAATCAGCTGCCAATTGAATATCCACTTCAGGGCAGTAACAAAAGGAATTTTTATATGAACTCAGAGTTTAATAGTTACATATAATGAAACTCTTACAACTTCTATCTTTCTTCAAGATTTCACACTTGATGCCATAGGAAAACAACATTCTCCATAGAAGTCCTGCTCTTTATTGCTATGCCATATTACAGAGGTATTTCTAGGTTCACTGGGAAAAATCCATAAATGAGGTCAACAGGGTTTCATGATATTTTTGTAGAACTATGAAAGATATAAGAGAAGGAAACTTATTTTAGTCAGTGCCACTGAAATACAATATTCAGCTAAAAAGAACAAAAAGCATTCTATTTAATTCCATTTTCCACCATGTGGATCAATTAGTAATTGAATACTACAGAGACTAATATGCAGTAATGACTCAGCTGAGGAACGTGAGATAATTTTCAGTAACATTTTATGTGGGTTTAGCTCTGCCAAATTCTGTCAAGAACAATAGGGAGGGAAAGCCTTGTCCTAAGTTCTAAAAAAATATTTATAAAACCACCCTTGGCTATTTCCATATAGTCATCACAAAGCCATTTATGGAAACGTCATATCTATTAATTTTGCTTGAAAAGAGGAATCCAGCATAGTTATGAAAGTGGTATTTATTTTGTCAGACAGCAGAAACTGCACTGTGTGACTGCACTTATAACACTGGACTCTGGAGTGCTTTATCTTCCTAACATGCTAACTTTCAGTGGTGGCATAGGGAACATCTTAAATCCATTGCAGTCTTTATGATTGGTCTTGAAAGGGTGCTGCAGCCATCACTGATTCCATTACATTTGTCAGTGTGAACACGAGTACTCAGTATAAATCTCAATTTCCACCCACTTGGGGGAACCACCATAGGCTGACAGCTCATAGTTGGGTACTGGCAACAATCTACTGGCAACAATCATTTGCAAATGTGTGTGGCACAAACATCACCTGTTCATTATCATTAGCCTGCCTTATCAGAGCCCTGTTCAAGCTACAGCAAACTTCCATTGTGCTGTGAGTGACGAGCACAATTGTTAAGTAGTACACCAGGGATGCAAAAATGCCAGTATATCTTTACATCAATACTCAAACTATACCTACTTAGAAGATGCTCCCTGATTTCAGAGGTAAGTTGCTCAGGATCCTGCATGTCGTCTTCTACAAAACATCCCATAGTATACTCCTGCCAACTCTTCAAGAAAGTCCTCATTATTTATCTCTAGGGAAAATGACTGGAGTGAAAAATATCAAGCATCACTGTAGAATTACAGAACCACAGGTTTTTGCAGTATTTATAACTAAATCATTTTAGAGACTAAAATACTAACTCCTTATACCAACTACAGTCTAGAGAAAAAAAGGTGAGTTTATAAACAATTTTCTTTTACTTGCTACATAAAGCAGCCAAAAAAATGTAAATCCTAAATGGGATCATGCATTATTGTACTGAAGAGGAATATTATTATGGGTTACATTTTTAAGCCTCGTGCACCAATGGCTCTTAATCTGAAGAAGGCCATTCCATCAAATTATTAATATTCACAGTTTATTTTAACAGATAATCTTTACTGTCAGTGCTGTGGTTGCATTTCCAGCTGTTTTAGGCAGCCTGGGCCCTGCTGTTAGGGGCTATGGAGACAGTGTCATGGAGCTGGCTCCGTGTAGAGCCACTTCAGATACATTCACACATATATTTTCAAGATTTAGAGGACATAGCACATAATTTTCATAGAACTGAGCATCAGTTGTACTCCTGCCAAGCCACTAAGTTTTGACTGAAGGTAGCCAGTAGGAGGTCACTGGCTACTACCAACTGCTACGTGGTGAGCTGGGAGGCTTTCTGCATTGCAGCACCCCGCACACAGAACACGCACATTCGATGTAGCTTGCAATGGGTGCTGTGTTTGGATTGCTCACAATTAGCTGCAGGGGTTACAGCACTAAGAGCCATTCTCCGTTCCTGAGGATGCCTGCTAATCACAGTACATTCCCTGGCAATGGAATATTCCATGCTAACAAACTCATGGAAGGTTTTAGTCTGTGCCACTGACACTCTCCTCTAACAATTCCTAGCATACTTCAGGAGGTAAGACGCATTTCAGGGACCAGTCCCAAACAGAAACTATCAAACAGTCCTGCAGGAGCTGACCAAGGACTACTAAAGGCCATCATCCATCCTAAATCCTGAGGGAGTTGCCCCATTTCTGATCGTGTGAAACTTTGCACTGACCAGCTCTTCAGCCATACAGCACCTCTGGACTGAAGTAAGAAAGGATTGACTGTAGGGTCATTTCAATCCTAAAGACGTACTTCAAATCAAAAAACATAAAGAGCAAATATTTGCTCTTTGTTCACTTTATGAATACTGCATACATAGTGTAAGAAGAGAACAAATACTTGTAATAACATTTCATAAATCTTAATTTAAAAAAAAGATTTTTTTTTTTTTGGTTGGCATTATTATTTTAAGAATCTGGATATATGGTAGCCCAAGTTTCAGACCTTCCTTTCCCCTAAATAAAGAAGCACAGACAAAGACTTTCATTTTACTCTTCATTTTAAAAGAATAAATGAAGGAAGAAACGTTCCTTTTTCTTAACGTTTAGTTCCAAAATCACATTACATTCAGACACCTTCATTCCTGAGCGCATATGAATGAGGCTCACAAAGCTAGATTTAATGGGAAATACTATTGGCTAGCTGCTGTAAAAATGAGGGAATGATTTACTTCGTATAATGAACAAAGCCAAAGTTGCTCTACCAGTTGCACAGGCAATGAAATATTTGCACTTTGAATTTATATGCACAGAATCCTTTTAGAACTTTTTGCATGTGTTAAAAATCAGAAGAGTTGCCAGCTGTTCTAAACTTCCTAAATCTATTCCTTATATAGTAGTCATAGACCCTTGAATTCAGAAGTCTGTTTTATGCTGCTAGTCAAAAGGCAAAACAGGTCTATGGAGTTCTTGCCATGAACACACTCTTTCTGCAGTGTTCTAGTGTAGATTTATATGCTCTTGCTTTGCTTTACAGCTGTATTGCTTTAAAGCAGTTTCTTAACTGTAGGACTTGAGCTGCAGCTGGCATCATTTTTGTTACTTTCTGTTACACTACTATCCTGAGGCCCAGGTGAAGTGGCAATTCAGAAGAGACTGTTGCAATACACCACTCTGAAAGCAACTTACCTGAAGAAGTTAGTTTTCCATTCTGATTACCTTGCTGTGCTGTAGAAGAAGTCAGTAGAACAAAAACTGAAGAATGAGACACACTTGACTGACAAACATGGAATTGTAAGAACATAAGTAGAAGCAATCTTGGACAGCTGAGAAAGGCAATCTGCTGATAAATGTGAGCTGCCTCGTTTGGATGTGTTACTAAAAAAATTGTGAAATTCATCTGCACTGAGCCATTCTGAAGCATTTATAATTGAGGGAATTAGGAAAAAAACCAACACAACAATATAGAATATTCAGGTTGCTGAAAAACAAGTTTGACATTTGCACTGTCAAAACTCCAAGTCACCTCCAAGTTCTCAGCAGCACAAAATTGCACACCTAGGTCAGTTCTGTTGATGATACAGAAAAACTGGAATTAAACTGCAATGCTGCAGAGATTGTTAGCAATAACTGTTAGCAATAATAACAAGCTGCTATTATTAAAAGATGAATTTGACATAAATTTATTTCATTCATTTCATAGTGCTTTTTCTATAACCTTAACGGTAGTTTATCTGACAGTGCAGTATTTTGTTATGACTTTAGCATCTTACTATTACATACATTATAAATAAATGTAAAACAAAAGACAATTATCACTCAGAAAGTTGTATAGTTTAGAGTACATGGCTTCAATTTTGCCAAGAGGAATGACTACTTTCATCCCATGTATACCAAGACCTTGTCTCCAACTACACTTAACAAATACCCTAATAAATATAGAAGTAGAAACAAATCTTACAATAGAGATCAGTTCTCTACTACTGGAGTTTGCATTTCCCTAACATGTACAAAAAACCAAAACCAACCAAAGAACCCTGGCCCACATAAAGTAAAACTGATTGATGCAAGCTTAAGCTGAGGAAACAGTGCCTTTCTTTAATTCAGTTCCAGCTGTAATAGTCTCTTGGAGGTACATCATAAGGTGTTCTCTCCTCCTCTTCAGGTCCATAATCTAATGGCAGACCATAATTGTAATCAACTGTTACAACTGGTAATCTTTTGCCTTGTTCCATTTCTCTAGTAGTTTCAGCTTCAAAAGTTTTTATTTCACAGTCTAATGAACTATCTTCCTGGTGTACAGATGAGGATGGATGCATTGTGCATGAAGAATATGGTGCAAATCTGCTTTTTCCTCTGCTAAATTCATCTGAAGGATGCACTCTCCTATTGTCTTCAGGACAGCTTGCTCGATTACTGTAGGAAGAATAAACATGAACAGTGAAGTCATTGAAATTAAAACTGCCTAGCCCTAAAAGAGCAAGAATCAGATTTCTACTTTTGTTTTTATCCTCTCTAATTAAAATTTCTCTACTAGATGTTAGAAATATTTTTTTTAAATTTAGTAGGTAAATGAAATAGAAAATGCTTTGTGTTTCAGCTGCTGTTTCTAATTAAAATTGCCTATTTACTGAAGGTTTCTTAGGGTCCATTTTTGTTCCTGAACACATTTTCATTGTGTGAAAAATACTTAACAGCAGCTGTCTGTTACACAGTCTCAAGCAACATTACACTGTGTATTTATCTTGCAAAATATTTTTGCATTCTTCTGCAACAGAAGAATCTACAAAATATCATATTTAATTTTTGTTATGGATTCTCTTTGGTACAGTACTTTGTAAAATAAATGGTGTATAAAGCTGATTGAGAACAATCTTTGTAATTTTTAATCTTTGCCTTCACTAAACCATAGATGAATATTATTGGAAGGGATGTCTAGTAATGTCTAGTCCAGTCCCCTGCTCAAACTCTTTCTTGCCATATGAGGTTGCACAGAGGTCCAGCTGAGCTCAAGGTATTTCAAAGGATGGCAATTCCACAGCTGCTCTAGGCAATGCATTTCTGTATCCTCAAAGAAACAGCCTTTTTCCATATAGGCTACAGAATTTTTGATGGTCTAATAAGAGTCTGTTGCCCCTTATCCTATCACTGCACACCATGAAAAAGAGTCTGCCTCACTCTTCTTTGTACTTTCTCATCAGCTCGTTGTTAGACATCACTAAGAGTTAAACATACTATCAGCAGTTCCTTTTTTTGCTTACTGAACACGGTTTTTTCTGTATTTTGAACACAGGTTTTTTTTGCATTTTATAATAAGTGAGCTTGAACTCTCCTTGTTATTCTGATGACTTAAGTGAGGAACTCTCAGTTTCATAACTATTATAATCTATATGAAGCCTGATATAGATGGACTACAATTTAGTCACATTACTTGCTTAATGTTCAGATTCAATGGTTTAAGCAAAAAGAAATTAACAAATTTTTACACAACAGGTAATTTGTATTTTTTTAGTTGGATACTGAAAGAGTAACAGTATAAATCAGAAAACAACATAAAACCTGGTATTTACCTATAGCTTCTGTTGAAGTCATCCTTATCATGTCCATAATCTCTGTGAAGCGAAGGAGATGAGGAGAACTGAGGTTCTGATACATTTTCATGGGAAGAAAAAGGTTGATTTCTGAAGATAATCAAAATAATCATGTTAAGAGGAGTACAAACTACTGTAGGCTTTTGAAAAACATCAGTTAAAATTACTTCAAATAATTTAATAGCTATTAACATTTCTTCAAATGAAGTTTTATTACAAATATCTTAATCCTATTAGTTTAACACATCAAAATAGTACCCTCATGGTGCTGATACACTGCCTGGTTTCACCTGTACAATGAAAAAGATTAAATCAAGTTTTACTAGCCCAGCAATTATCTGAACTATGTTCTGAAAGATCAAATAAATATTTTGGAATATATTTGCAAGAAACTTAACTACTAAATCCATTTTACTAAGTGATATATGCTTTTGGAAGAATACAATGCAAAAGGAGCAACACAATGCAGTCAGAAGCAAAAGGATTTCTACAAATGATTAATTCATGAAACAAGGGAATGTCAAACTTCCTTTAACATTACTGTTATCTCAGTTTAGATGAGAATATAAATAAAAATTTATATCTTTTGTCTTGAGGAGTGCTGTTTAAATTTGACGAAGTTTCAATTCAAGCTAAATCCAGAAAAAGTGAAACACGAGCTTTAAGGAAGCACAATCTTGTAGTTTAGGTAAGGTGCCTTCAAATTTACAGCACTGAAACTTAAGTCAAATACATCCAGACTTCAAAATAAAAAGTTGATTGTTAACTAACTGATCATTCGTGTGTGATTTTAAACAGATGACTGTTTCAAATAAATGTATTTAAAAGAGTTTAAAATTTAATTTAGAAGTGCTGCTAGTTCTGGTCTTACTGTTAAAGGATAATCAAAATTATCATATATGAAGAGTAATACAAATTACTGCAGGCTTTTGAAAAGTATCAACTAAGACTATTTCAAACTGCAGTGCTTTCAATTGTACCTGTCTGAACACCATTCATGTGGCAGGTCATCTTGAACAGTATGATCACGGAGGGGTCTTGACCTTTTTTGTCCTTGCCCTCTATTAACATAATCCAAGTCTTTTAACTGAGGCTGCTCCTGTAAGTCATCATAAGGCTGATGGTCATGAAAAGGTCTGCGCCTTTGCACAGGACCTTTATTATCATAATCTTTGAGCTGCACCTCTGTTTGTAAGTCATTGTGAGGTTGGTGATCATGGAAAGGTCTCGATCTCTGCCCACGGCCCCTGTTAACAAATTCAAAATCTTCCAGTTGCATCTGGGGCTGTGACTGATAGTCATGGAATGGTCTCAGTCTTTGGCCAGGACCTTTTTTGACACAATCTGACTCTTCTGACTGCATTGGAGTCTGAAATTGATCACGAGATGGATGATTGTGGAACAGCCTTTGCCTCTGGCCACGGCCCCTGCTACCAAAATCAAAATCCTTTGACTTCATATCTTCCTGTGAATCATTGTGGGATGGACAGTCAGGAAAAGATCTCTGCCTTTGCCCATGGCCTTTGTTAAATTCAAAGTTCCTTGATAGTCTCTCTGTCTGTAAATCACCACGAAACTGGCATCCATGAAAAGGTCTCAGCTGTTGTCCAGGTCCCTTGTTACTGAAGTCTTTCAGCTGTGTGTCTTCTTGGTAATCATCATAAAACTGGTGATCAGGAAATGGTCTTTGCCTCTGTCCTGGTCCCCTATTGTAGTCCCAGTTTCTCATCTGCATTGGTGCTCGCAAGTTATCCTGAGTCTGATGGTCATTAAATGGTCTTCGTCTTCGTCCAGGTCCCTTATTAATGAAATCAAAATCTCTCAGTTGTGTTTGTCCTTGCAAATTATTATGAGAGTTGTCATCATAAACTCTTAATCTTTTCCCAGACCTGTAAAGAATTTTTTTCTTAAATAGAACATCTGTACTTATAAGTACAAGTTATTAATGAAAGTAAGTTTTTTTTAATCCAAGAATTGATATGAAACACATTGCAAGTAAAACATGTATGTATCAAAGTTACTAAGAATCTAAACTCTAAGCAAAATTATAAAACTTTCAGACAATGTCAAATTAGAAGATATGACAAACATTCAACTATGATTCCATAGGGCAAAACCAGAGATATGAAATTAATTAAAAATAAGACGCAGACTGCTGTAGAATAACAAAGACCAGCAGGCATAGTAAAACTCTAACATTTTCCCAAAAGAGCTGCTCACCATTTCCTAATAGCACATATTCCCTATCTTCCCTTTATCTTCTCATTACTTTTTCTAATTCTGTAAATATACTTTGCATGAGTAAGCTACATGAAAACAAAATCTCTTCTAACTTAGAATATTTCAGTGCTTTCAGTGTTTCAAAACACCACATCTCTAATTGTTAAAATCAGCTGATCCTCTTGTAACATTGTAGTGGATTGCCACTATAAAAACAGCTCACACACACTAAGGAAAAACCATCTTTTGCACTATGGGGTTTTTGGCTTTTCATTCCAGGTTTCAACTTATTACCCCTGAAAATCTTCATTAGGGAATTGTTCCACAGGTCCTTCCGCTGCATTTGGTGGGGGAACAATATCTTCATCTGAATCCCATACATCCATTCCAAGGTTACTGTAAAGAATAAAAACATCTCTCATAAGCTTCCTTTTCTCCCAAACATACTGAGAGAGGAAAAAAGAATCACAAAGATTCTTCAGTTGAGAATTACTGATTTTCTTAAAAATATTAAGTTAAACTTACAGACATTCAAGATTTTCATAGCAAATTTCAATCTTGTGAATCTAGTTGAGGAAGGGCTGTAGAGAAAGCCTAAACTTCATATATTTGCAACAACATCAAAAATGTGAGACAAGTACCATACTTCAAAAAATTCAGCACAGAACTAACTTTCTTAATCACACTCAGTCACACCAGCAATTAACACAGTAAAACAAGAACAAAGGGCACTAAACTAAAAGGAGCAAAGTCTGTCAGATATTATTTTAAAATCAATGCGATGCTACAAGTTGTAATTGTACAAATAATGTACTGAGATGTAAATGTTAATTATTCTTAGGTGCTCCGGGGTGTACCGGATAAAGTGTACCGGTAATATGATAAAGACAAGAGATTCCATATGCGTCAGGAATATAAATACTAAAGGCAGGAGCTTCGGGAACAATCTTCCACCTTACTTTCTCCACTACAACTGGTTTTTGTTGTTGTGGGTTTTTTGGTTTTTGTTTTTTTTTAGTTTGTTTGTTTTTAAATAATCTAGTTCCACCACACCATCAACAGCAGGCAGAGCACAGAGCTTATAATGAAATCTTAGCAGTAGCTCTTCTCAATTTATAAGAGAGCACAGACTCAAATAGTTGGGATAGTATGATACAAGTGCACCAATACCCAGTCGTATTCATCAAAGCCATATAAATTCAAAATATAAACAAAGGTACTTTATGTTATTCACATCAGAAGTCTTGCAGAATTTATGAAGCTGTTTACAAAGTGTTTAAGAGGGACAATTTTGGCTTACAAATGTAACTGAACTTTTAAAAATACGTCCTGGAAAAATCTTAAGTGCGCAACTAAAAGCTTTTGCTTACCTTCTCATTGGTTGTGTTCTGAGATCTGTGAGGTATACAAGACCATCCATGCAATGACCCCTAGCATCACCAAAAGCTAAAGAAAAAGAAGAACACGTCCAATGACATGTGCATAAACTGGGTCACAAGAAGATGAAATAGCAGCTTTCTATTCACCATGAAATACTAAAAAAAAAAAAACACATTAATACAAATGCCACAGCAAGCTGTAATTGTTGAAGCAATTTTATTCTTTTAAAACTGAAACTAGTAGTGGTAGCAACCTATCACTGAAAAATTCTTCAAAGCAAAAGCCAAAGAAAAAAGAATTAAAGAGCTGAAACTTCCTGTCATTCAGTTTGCTAACGCTCAAACCTCATTTGAAAGAAAATCAGCAGAAAATCTTCTCTGGAGACTACCACAGGAGGTAACAACACGCAACAGCAGAACAGCACACTACAGCAGAACTGTAGCATTTGTGAATACAATTATAGTTAAATGTGAATTACAACCCAACATTTGTCTGAGTTCAAAGCTTGTAACATACCTTGGATTGCTGCCTCTGGATCCCAGCCTTCAACGTCTATAAGATATCTAAAGAAAAACTTGATTACTCTGCTATCCCAAAGGGATTATAGACTAATATAAAGTCACTATATCTTTTGTAAATACTGATATTTTTTTTTCAACCCTTACCTACATATAAGGTAGCCAGTTCTATTAATTCCATTAGTACAGTGGACACCAATGAGTTTTTCTATCAAAAAAGATAAACACAGGCTTTAGTAGTTCAGAAAATGAAATTACTTGAAATTAGCTTAAGACAAAAAAAAAAAGTGCTGAACTTTTTATTAAGTCGTTGTTGTTTACAGAATGATACTGTCATGCTTGTAAAATAACATATCATCCAGACTTTGTCTTCTTCATGCCAGATCTCTAGCAGCAGTTAACTCATTATTTCCAGACCTGTGAAGACTGCGATTAACTCCAAAGAACATATGAAAAAGGAATGATATCAGAGAAAGCTGCCAGCCTCCAGTTAGAACTGCAGTAATAGGAAAGAGTAAAATACGGTTTTGAAAGCAACCTTGGCCAACTAGCAAATGTAACACTAAATAAGTTAATGTTCAAATTCTTTTAAAACTTACAAAAAGAAGAAAAAAATGCATAATATCCTTAGTATCTAGGAGTATGAAATGCATTACAAGAAGAATTAATTTAACTGGACTGAAAATTCAGGTGGTTACTGGGACAAATCATAGAGATGAAGTATTCAGGTTCACAGACACAGACAAGCACTCTGATGGGAATCAGTTATGTCAAAAGAAAACATATTTTCTGAAAAGATTATACTAATCAGCTGTAGGCTAAAAGAATGAGTTACTACTATTAGGCTGTTTCAACTGAGGTATTTCCAATAAGGGAAACAGCAATGTGGTTTGCAAGGCACTGATAAAAACCTCATCCAGACTATTTCACACACCAATACACAACAGAAAAAAAACCCATCAAATTAAAATACATATTTAAAGGTCCACTGTGCTTGTCACAAAAAAGGGCCTATTTAGTGAGACTAAATAATATGTAAGAGCAAAATTTGGTATAAGAATATTAACTGGTTAAGAGTTTAAATCTAGATTTAGAAGACAAACTTCAAACGTCAGAAGCACAAAGTTCAGGCAGGGACAAAGTACTGACAGAAGGTCTCTAAAATGGACTTTGATAAATTTTTTAATGAGATCCACTATCACTGTTTGCCATAGAACAGGACAGTCATGCTATTGTGTAAGTTTATTCTAGGTTGGTGTCCCAAACAGTAAAAGAACAAACTTTAAAAATTATTTGTAAGTAGAATCATGATTAGTTACCATGGAAATCTGAAACTGAGGGCATGTTACAATGCATAGGTTAACATAAAAACTGGAAGCTCACACACCACTGAATTTACATAATTACATAATTTTGCTAGTGCAAAAACACAAAAACCAGCAGCAGATCCACACTGTGGAAATACTGACACCGCATCTGCAAAATGATTTTTAAAAACTGCTAGGACACGATGGCAACAATTCAGAAAATTGCTGCGTGTGACTAAATGGGCTTCATTAGATTGCAGATCAGTGCCCAGTGCCATCAGAGAAACCCTGTACTATTTTCAACATCCACAGAGAAGCAGCAGCTGTGACACTGAGTTTATGGGGAAAAATCTGAGCCAGATTCTATTGAGTATTCTCTTTGTCAGCTAGATGGAGGTAACCCATTTAAACCTTGTGAAAAAGGTGGAGTTCAGATGGGGGCATTCAACATGCACTGGATAGAGACTTCCCCAGCACAATTAGAGAAGTATAATATAGAAGCCTAACTACACTGGGATCAAGGAGTACAAAAATATTTGCAATTATAATAAAAAAAAAAAGTCTATTGCTCAGCAGTGGTCTGTAAATTACCAGAAATTCATAAGCAAGTTTTTCTCACTTGGAGTTTCTTTGCCACATGACAGATACAGCTATTAAGAAGTGAATTGTTACTTTTGAGAAAGGTATGTTACAAATACAAGACATAAGGTATATTACGTTTACTACCGCATAATAGTAAATTGGAAAATGCTGTGGAGTGCTTTCAGACATCTGGAGTCCCAGATGCCATAAGGCATCTATTGTAATTAATAAATGATGCAGCTAGCACCAAAGTATTATTATTTTTTAGCCTTTTACAGCATAAGATGCTGATATTTACCATTTCTTGCATTTTCCCATAGGAATTTTCGGACCCATTTCTTGAATTGTAGAATAGTAGCATTATCAGGAACTTCGAGTCCAACAGTATAAAGTTTCTTATACTGCACACTTCTAGGTAAATCCTAGAAACATGAAGAAAAACATGGTAAAAATTACTGAAATCTTGCATTAATGAAAACCCTAAGCTGTATCTAAAATATCAGCAATGCAAAACAGTAGTTTCAATGCTGCATAGAAACTGAAAACAATCATGACATGACTTCACAAAGAGCCATTCTCAGAAACCAATATTTACATTTCTGTTGTACAGAAACTCTTCTATCAGATAAGGTCTTTACATCTACCTATCCCTAAAAATAAGATGGCACATGAATTAATTAAAAAGAGCAGATTATTTTAATTCCATTCCAACACATTTAACAATTATTAGGAATGTCTACCCTGCTGAATCTACCAGCAGTCATATTCACACATCTGTCCCCTTAGTGTACCAAGCCAATGCACATTTGAAGATCAACATTCAGTTATAACATGGCTACTTATTCTCCATTTCAATAGAAGGCAATTAAAATTCTACGAGCTGGTCAACTAGTAACAAATCTATCATGAAGGAAGCAATTTCAAGATGTATCCTTTTTTTCAGTGGATTCCACTGGAGATGCCTCCAATCTCTTTCTTACAGTGCCTAGCACTGAAGTCTTCATCCATTACTCTGAGCTGCCATAGCACAAATGAGTCACCGATGTAACTAGCAGGTAGGAGGAGCTTCTTCCTGTCATAAAGCATTCTGTTTCTATTAGAGACACGAAGTAAGTCTAGATGGCTCAACTCGTCTATTCCAATTCAAGGCGAGTAAATGCAAAAATACTTTAAAACAACGATGGCAGTAACTATTACAAAATTTGCTATGACTCTTACAAGTACCTTAACTTCATAGTATCGTGTGGTGTAAGTTAAATCGATAATTAATCCGAGCTCCACATTTAGGGCTTTCATTGCAGCAATTAAGTCTTTTGGTGTAAATTTCTGGGTTGGGGTAAGCCTCTGGTTAATTGCCTACAATAACAATGGAAAAGGATCATTTGCTTTTTGAGTTCTAATAAGACATTTGCTATATTCAGTTTATTTAAATAGGAAAAGGGCAGTTTTCAAAATGGAATGTTTGCAGTATCAAGAGCACATCTACGTTTTATACAGATAAAAAAAAACAAAATAAAAATTTGTTTCTGTTCCAATGAATAGGCAAGAAAACACGGAGGAACTTACACTTCAACAACATTAACAAAAAAGCACTAATTTAATGGACAAAAACCTTGCAAAATGCAGCATATAATAATTTTATATACATACTGATTAAGTAACTAACTAAACAAGGAAGCTCAAAACACTGCAATCCCTCCCCCAGAACTTCTTTTGTCCTGCACAATAGCACAACATTAACAGCATATTTCACATAAAACATCAGAAGTTGTGATGCCAGAGTTCACTTACTCTCAAGGCTTTAACCCTCTCCCCACAAATGTTACGCAGGCATTTTTATCCCTGCTTCAACTCTTGTCAGAAAGTACTTGTGTGTCATCTAGCACTGGGAAATGTTAAATAAGTCTAAAATACAGTGGCATGTTGGTGGATAATGATAATCATTAATTAATTAATTGTATTAATTAATTTCATTTGACAGACAGCGCGAAAATTGTTTACTCACCCTATTGTAGCCTGTGGTTTCTGACATGTGTTCTCCGCTCTAGGTATGAAAATGCCTCGTGCACAAATCTGGATTTTCTCTGAATAGGGAGCTGTCCACTGTGAGAGCCTTTTGGCTCTGTCACCACCAATAAAGAGTGGCAGAACAGATGCAGCAGCCTCAACCACCTCTCAGTTCCTTTGTTAATAAGAAATTCAAGTAGACTGGACTCAGAACTAATGGAAAGGAAGGCAGCCACAGACCACACACCTCTCAGAACCACAGATACTACAGGGTAACTATTCTATCTTTTGACTGTACAGATTCTTATCTAAGATGCTAGCACTTTGAGTGGAGTCTGGAAACAGAGAGAGGAATTCTAATTTAAGAATGAACAGCAGAAAACTCCTATCTATCAAAGCTGGTATATGATTAGAAAGCTTGCACTGAAACAGTAGGGCTGAAAGTGCATAGAAGTATTCATTCCTGGGTATTTCAAATGTTGGTGTACTGCTGAAAAACTGTGGAGGTTGTCTAAGTGCAAACCTAACAAAGACTAGTCACAATCATCTCTCAACTACTCAGAACTATTTTTTAATAAAATCTGAAACTGAATTCACGAACTTTGAGGTGAAAACTACTAACCTGCAGAAGTCTGTGGCAGAACTTGTAAAAAGTTTTGTTTTTTTTGCTATGTGAACTCGCACTTAAAATCAAGTGAAAACACATCCTAAAAAGTAAGACATCTATAAACATTTTGCTTCATCGTGTGACCAGTTAACTGTGTTATGAAAAGCTATTTGAGATGCTATTCGAGATTTTCTGAAGTACTCGACAAATCCTGCTGAGTTTACCTGCCCTTTTTATGATCTCTGGTGGAGCTCCTTCCAGGCTATCAGAGAACTGCAGGGGAAAGGTAAACTAACAACCAAGTACCTTCCTCTGAAATTTGAGTGACAGTTTAATGCTATAATGGGATGATAACAGCACGGTGGCAAAGTCTTAGGCTACAGCAAATGGGAACAAGCTCAAATGCAGCAGACTCAGATGCAGAAATGAAGGAAAAAGGCTATTTACCTTTGGAAGGCCTCAAGCAGGCAGGGATCTCTGGCAAGAGATGCCTTCATCTCCACTGCCAACCCTTAAGTGAGGTCTGGCAAGGGGTGGATCCTGGCTCCACCCCTTCCAGTCACTTAGGTACACTGCAAGCACCTGAGCTCCTCTGGGTTGGCCCTGCCTTCCCACCAGGTGCTCAATCACTGCTTCAGGCTGTGACTCTGCATTTCCACTACAGATGGAAAACTAGAAATATATGGAGTGCAAAGTGTGTTTGTGAAAAAAATGGTGCTGGATCAAGTGGAATTACAGGAGCTGATAATGCAAAAAATCTCTCTCCCACCCCAACAGTAGAGAAGCTAATTACAGATCTATTGTATCTGACTTCTACTGATAAGTAGATCTACCCTCTAGCAGTCTTGGTAGAAAGGCACATGGCTACTGCATCGTTCTTTACAATTATGCAGAGCAAGTATGACCAACTAAGACCTTTGGTGTCAAAGCAACCAAACCATCATACTGAAGCTGGGAAAGCAGCTAAGGAAGTAAATCCTGCAAGCACTTCACTTCAGTCTAACAGAAGTGAAGTGAATGGTGACTGAAAATGTAACGGGCTCTAATATGCCAGAAGAAAAAAAAAATTTTAACTACATGAATACTAGAGTGCAATCAGTAGACAACAGTTAAGACTTCCTTACTTTTAACTGCTATGGTTATGTCTAGCCATTGAATATTAAAAGAGCTTAGAAACTTTTCTTTCCTGTGTATCTGAAGTAAGAACTTGTATGAATTAATTTATACAGCATTTGTGTTGATTTATACGGAAAGGCAAATTTGCAACCATGTACCTCAACCCATCAAAGAACTGAAGTCTCCATGTTTTGTTCTGTCACAGAAAAATTTAGAGATCTAGCTTAGTGTATTTAATGGATTAAGGCTCTATTCCATGTTATTAAGTATCTAATGGAGTTACTAACACAAAAATAGAATAAATCTATGAATACTGTGTTTCTCCATATCACTGAAGCTTACCAGTAATCTAAATCTCTAATTTTAAAAGTACTGCAGTGGTAAGTGTATTTTAATAAGTGCTTCATCTTTGAAAAATGGTATTTTGGTTTATACTGCCTAGACTGTTATTCATATCACAACCCCCTCCCATGGCAATAATCAGACTTTTCTTCTAACAGTCATGAAGTAAGAAATAAGATGTTGAATTTAGGCCACTAAATTAGTGATTAAATGACTTCACTGACTGGTTAGAGATTGTCTGATTTACAGAAAATAAAAAGACTAACACTAAATACATCAGAAGAGTGAAAAAAATATAGATAATTATGTAAATAAAGCCACTGGTAGATGACTGGATTGATTATTTAAACAAAATATTTGCCCATAAATCTTTTTTGAAGTTTTTGTGAATATTAATGCTATTTTTCATTATTTTTGTACTGTATTTAGTAAAGACAATGTGTAGTTACTGTTTATACATACCCCTTTTAAAGGTACTTTGAACGCAATAAATCTAGTTCCTGGTATAGGCTGCCCAACCGGTGTCAAACTCCTCCATCTGTAATGAAATAAATATTTAATTTTAAAATATTTTTAAATAACAGATGTCAACAAAAGACACAAATAGCTCTAAGTAAAACTTCTAAAATAACGTATGTCCTCTTTGGATTAAAACTTCTGTAAAGCAAAGCACATAAAAAGCCCTTTTCTTTAAAACTGTAATAGCAGTAACTTCAAACCATATGAAATATCTTACAAATACCAAGCAACTCTGCTGTCACATTTAGCAGTAGATTTAATGTAATAGTTATTTAAAACTTCAAGCATAAAGACACAACAGTTACCTTTTCCTGCCTACAGTGGGCACCTACTAGCATAAAGCTTTAAGATTTCCAAAAAGCACAATCAATAGTTCCTAAATTTCTTGGTCACATAAGCAAGCAGTTGCAATAGATACGCACAAAAGTTTGAAAAAGATGTCCAATTAGATCCTTGTATGTATGTAAAATCAGCTTTCTAAAAAATTATCTTCCATTAGTATCCTGTTTCACCAACACTAACATTATTTTAAAAGTCATAAAAATTCATTTTGTTATTGTACTACATATTTGAACACAATTAATAGCTTAGCATTCTTCTGGGATAAATGAAACAGGGAGCTGCCTAAAAGATGCTAGGAGAACATGAACAGTGTTACCACAGGACTGATGGAGAAGGAAGCTTGTTTAGCACACTACACAACTTACATAAACAAACTCCTATTGTTTGCAAGCCTAAAATCAGGAGTCATAATAAAATGAATATTTATTCTCCATAAAGCACTATGATAAAATATTTTTTACAGATCATGTGCATGACATACATTAGAATTATGCCCCCAAATCTGCAGCTGTTACAAAGTCGTTTCGCCGTATTGACAGCATGTTCCAAAACAGTCTTTCTCCTTCCTTTCTTTTTCAGCTTCCAGAAAACTCCGTTCCCTCAGAACGTTAGGGAAGCACTTACAGACAAGGAGCACCAACATAAAGTAGAAGAACAAAGTACAAAAGGTAAAAAAAACCCCACTTCTTACATTATGGTCACCAGAAAGTTTTCAATGGCTGAATCAATTTTTAACTTGGCTGAATCAAACATTCTTAGATACAGTGTTACAGCCTCACTTAAATTATTTAGATGACAACGAAATGCTAAGTTTATTTTCATTTAAAAGTATAAAACTTTTAGATTTTGCAAATACATTCACTTTGTAGTATTCTTCTTTTTCAGGGCAATATTTTTCACTGCTCTTTCTCTTGGTACTCTCAAAACCAAAGAATATTTGATAGTAGAAAAATTAAGCAAAAATCACTTTAGTAACATGAAGACTTACGTTACAACAATCAAAGTCTTAGTAATTCCAAATCCACAAAGAAATGGCATTCACTGATTTTACACAGTGCTGAAGAAAGTTTTCGTGTAGCACATTTCAGAGATGCCAGTATAAGAATACATTCATGACTAGAGGACACGTTCTATGCAACATGCCTCCTAGTTTAAGATAGATAAATTCAATAGGAATTAAGATCGCAAGCAGTATAAGCATACAGAAAATACCCAACCTAACAAAACCCACAACATAAGTGTCCAGACTGCAAGATGTGGTCAGTTAAAAAAACTAATTGTACCAAAAAGAAGTTTAATCAACCCTGTGCATAGTTTAATTTTACCTTGTTCACATCATAAACCACTGTGATTCTATGATCATCTTAAAAAGAAGCTAAATGCTGTGAACCATTATTAGATGTACATTTGATCTGACCTACTGTTAAAGTAATGAGAAAATCAAGCTTAACACCAACTCCAGCCTCTGGCTATTTTTAATAACTCAGGAAATTAAAAATTTTTGCTCTCAAACTTACAGGCAGAATCAGAAAATGGGCTGCTTCTGGGAATAGAGTAACTAATATGAATACCAATAAAACACACAACATGCTTTACAGCAGTGGGATTCATTCATCAGGCAGCCAAAGGCCATAATTGCACATACGCATTTAGAAACATTTTGAAGGAAGGCAGAAGTAAAGTATCCCAACCACAGAAGACCAACCAGCTCATGCAGGGAGACAGCTGGATGCCATAGGCTAGAAACTCAAGTTGCCTTTAACCAGCTTTACCTTGGAAAACTGTATAAGTGGAAATCTACTGTAACCAATGTAAATTCCAAGTAACTAGAGATCAGCAAGAAATGCTAAAAAAAAAAAAAAAATCTTAAAAATCCTATTTACAAGACTCAACACCATCATCATTCCTGTAGCAATGATTAAAAGGTTTGAGTGAAAAACACTGAACTGGACATAAAGAAGCTGAGAAGATAGTAGGAAGTTTCCACAAAGAGCCAGTGGTATCTCCCTGAGACACAATGTGTGCTTCTAGGCATTAGAAACATTCAGGTATTTACACTACAGTGGAGACAGCTCTGGCCATAGAACAGTCACATTAGAAAGACACTGTGATAGGAGTATAAAATGGAATTGTAAATTCAGTAAATCATTGCAGCTTAATAACCCAAACAATAATCAAATAAAGACAGACCAGGAAGAAAATTAGAACTTCTGCATGAAACACAACAGCTGTCAAAATACAGGCAGGAAGTCATCATACTCTAAGGCAAACTGTTACCTGACAAAATGTGCTATTTCTGGACTTTTCATAAAATGAGTAGCCAGGTCAAACACCCTTCAGAACCTCGTTGTGTAAAAGAACTGCAAATCAAATTCTGCTTTAAGTTTGCATCAAAACAGCTGAGAGGTTTTTTTTAATCAACCCAACATGGTGATTTTTTTCTGGTCTCTATACAAAACCACAACCCCAAATTTATTTGTTTGAATAGAAAAGTACTGAAGAGAGAGCAGCACTCAAATACAAAGTGACATACTGCAAACACACAACCTGTTTTTAATTATGGCTTTATTTCTACAAGTTTTCAAATAAGTAAACAATCCATGGAATACATGCAGAGTAAGATCTGAAATGTAACGAAACAAAAATTAATGAATTGCTTAATTCTTTTCCTTTCCCACTTCTCTATCATTTTTTGTCTTCGTCGCTTCCCAACCATCATCAACAGTCTCAGAACACAGGCAGAATTTTACCAGCCATTCCAAATAAGAGAATCACATCTCAGTTGAAAAGTGTTAAACTCCAATTAAACATAACTCCCCCTTCCCTCTGAAATCTCTGTGACTCCTTCATGACTTCCAGTTAAATAAGTACAATTATTATTGCTACTACAGACTGTAGTTAGCTCAACTATAAGTGACTTTATATCTGGTTTACATTAAGATATGTTATTACACTTATCCATTTTTGTTTAAATGGAAAGCATTGTTTTATGGCCTTATTTTTTGTCTAAAAATCTTAGATGTGCAGTAACAGATTGATTTGCTTTCTTATAACAAACTTCATGCATCTTGTTAAAAGTACGTTCACAACGCATTGGTAGAAATCACTCAATTTTGTCTTTTTAATGAAAATACTCCACTCCTTGGATTATTACTTTTTCTAGACTCTAGGGGAAACATAAAACAAGGTTATATTTTGGCAGATGCTATTCAAAGCAGAATCTGAATTGATGAAATTATACCCACAGTAGGACTTGGGATGCTGATGCACCACATGTGTAACCCTGTAAACCATCACAGCACTTTATGAAAGCTCACTAGATAGCTTGAACACATCCTACTGGCTGACTCCCAGTAAAACACTGTAACATACAACTACCAAACAACAGTACCATTTCAGACCCTGGGGGAAAGTGGAGCAGAGCAGGACACTTGAGAGTCCCTCTCTTATATTAAATCTCATTTTGTTATGAAATCACCTCCACAGCACTATTTTATAGGCTTTGAGGCTGCAATGGATACTGCACATCTTAGTTTTGCTCCAAAACTTTACTGGGAAAAGGGAGAAATGACTTTTGCTATGAAGGAATATGGAAAATTGTACTTCCAGGCTACTTTCTCTCCTCTTTGCTGGAGCAAAGGCTGTGCAAAAAGTGCAACATCAAGCATTCAGGGCTAGGGGAAAGCAACAGGTATGCAAGAACAAGAAATGAGACATGTACTGCAGACCCAGTGGCAACATCAGCTATTAATACTTCTTCAGGTGCTGGCACACTCACAGTTCTGATTCCAGCAACATTGCACAGTGCTGTGATACAACCCTTACATACAGTCAACTTTAGTTATGCTGCAGACATAGTATTGTAAAGTGACAGTAATTAGCTGACCAATTTTTAAAAATACACTATTTTTTTTATTTGTACCATCTCTAGCTAAAGCCTGAGCCTTCAAATTTATCATACTGCTTTAATTGGCAGAAAGGAAAGTGGATTAAAACTGTTAAGAACTGCATAAAAAATGGAGGCAGTAACAAAGACAACCTAAAAAAATGCTGGCTGTCAACTTATCTCCTACCAGGCTTCTCCTGCACTATTGTTACCAAACAAAATAATTTAGTGTTATGTTCACAGTGATACAATAGAGATTTTATTTCCATAGTTAAATACTGTCTTCATGTTGCAGTGTACCTCAATCTTACTTCTTCCAAAAGCTGGGAACACTTTGGTATCATGAGCTTTGTCACATGATAACACTATCTTTAAAAGCAATTACTCTACAGCAGATGTTCTCCTCTCCGTGAAAGATACACAGGTGTTAGTTTCTAATCAGAGAGGCCAGAAGTACAGGCCACTGTTTCTTCCATGTTTACAGAAGAAACGCACGTAACCTAAAAGCACCTCAAGCTCAAATGCCATGGGAAAAGAAGGGAAAAATGAGTAAATGACACATTCACAACATTTTAGTAATAATTTTTAAGTATGAAAAAAACAAGCAGGAGTTATTCTTACAGGCTTCCTTTATTATTGCTTGCAAGCCTAACCCACTTTCAGGATAACTTTTTGTGTTAAAGTTCTAACTGAATTTTAACAGAAACTTTCAAACAAATAAATGCATGCATAGAATTTTCTAAAATTTTATTCTATTTTTAATCTCTGAGTATGTCTGCTATTGAAATAATCAGTTTCTAGAAGCTAATTCTAAAAGTTTGCTTATTGTTTGTTTCTATTCACTGCTTTAGACCAGCATGTTTTGCAAGAAAACACTTTTTGTATGTCATTGTTCCTCTTAAGAATGTTCTCAATAAGGTTCCTCTAGATAATGTCCACCTTTCCCAAAATATCATATTAATTCCAAGTTACTGTCCTGTTACAACATGCTCGTATGTCTCACCACACCCTCCTATCACAAAATTTGTTCAAACATCAGCAGTAAAACATAGCTTAAGCTTTTAAAGTTGGACTTCCTTCAATTTTCTTTTTTTCTTTTTTTTTTTTTTTTTAAAGAGCTCAATAGTGGGACCACATTTGTTTTAAATGAGAATATTCAGTGGTGCCTATATGCACTCCCACTAAAGCCATCAGAAAGCAAGTAGAATAATACATTATTTTGTGTTGGTTTTTTTTTTTTTTTATTTTCACTGATTGAACATTTTTTTGTCATCCTATTGTAAAAACAAAAAACAAGAGACAGAGGATAACGTGTTTCTGGACCTGTGTGTTCTTTGATCGTGTGCACGCAACCAGCTGCTCTCATCTCATCTACTCTTCCCTTACTCTGAGCAGTCAGGATGGGCTACTCTCTCATTTACCCAGGTAAGTATGCATCTGGGGGTGAGTAAGTTAGGAAGAAGGGACTGCATTTGTCTGATGAAGGAGAACGTTCAGATGGGCTGGAGCATCAAACTCACCTGGGGGATGACAAGCTGTGTTGTTCCTGTCTTGGAAAAGATACCTAGCTTACCTGGCAGTACATGGCAAAGAAGCACCTGGGGCAGTGAATGCCCCTTCTCTATGGGCAGGGCTGTGCCCGCTCCTGCCTCTCGCTTAGTGTGAGGGATACTTACCCCTCGGGGATAGTGTTCTTCTTTACCATGCTGAAAGCAGGAGCAGGCAGAGCAGGAGACAGCGGTGAAAGTGCGCACTGCAGCAAAGGAGAGAGAACCGCGCAGTTAACACGGTGCCTATCTCTTTCTCCATCAATGGGCATTTTCACAGGGCTGACTCAATATAAAGTAAATGAAGCAGTCAGCCGCGGCTGGAAGCCATCCTGAAAAAGTTCTGCTGCTTGCAAGCTACTCTATGTTCTCCACCGCAACTGTACAAGAGGGAAAGACAACAACTCACCTCTCCTCTCCAGGAGACCAAAAGAACCAGAGAGGAGAGGCGGCGGGTTTCTAACTCTCGCAGCAGCGCTGCAAAGGTGAAGATGTTCCAGGCAGACCCAGAGCAGTCCGCTCAGCCCTCGCGCTCCCACAGCCAGAACTCGTCTCGACTGGAAGCTCCGAGCATCTGCAAGAGGCGAGGCCGGCCCTCAGCAAGCTGAACGACCACCTGCCCCGCGCGAACCTCGGCGGGGCCGACCCCGCGGCGGCCCGAGCACCAGCAGCGGCCGCCGAGCCCAGCGGGGCGCAGAGCTCCCCCTGCGGCACAGGGCCCATGGTCGCCGCTCCACAGAGGACGCCTGAGGCTGGGTCGGCTCAGGGCGCTTGGCGGGAAGCCGCCAAGCCGAGAGGAGGGATTAAAAAAAGACACGGGGGCAAAGGGGAGGTCGCGGCCCGACGGCTGGGGGCCGGGCTGTCGGCGAGGGGCCGGGCCGTGAGAAGCAGGGCGAGGGCTGCAGCAGGATGCGGTAACGAGGGAAGGCCCGGGCGCCGGGGCGGGGAGGAGCGGGGCTGCGGGCGGCCCGTACCCTGACAGGATTTCCCTTGCAGAGGAAGGCTGGAGCGAGACGGGCGGCACAGAACGTTCCCGAAACGGTCTCGACTGCGCATGCGCGGCGGCTGGCCAGCTTGCCGGGAGGGGGCATTGCGCCTGCTCCTCGCGGTCGGGCCGGCGGGTGCCGAGCGCGCGTGCGCGGCGGCCGCGACCCCTAGGCTCGAGCGAGCACCCGCTCAGTGTGCGTGACCGGCCGGCCAATGGGACGCGGCCGTGCGTCTGCGCATGAGCTGGGAGCCCGTGGGCGCAGGGGGGAGGCTGGCAGGCGTGCGTGGTGTGGAAATGGTAGGGGTAGGGGTAGGGGTTGCGTTTACTGCTGAGCGGGCGGAATGAGACGGATGTGCTTCCCGTAGCGAAACGTTTTGCGCTCGTGGGGAGCGGAGCTCGAAGGGAGCTCTGAGGGAGAGCCGGGTCTGGGGGGCGTCCTTGCCCGCCCCCTTCCTCAAGTGTGCATGTGCTGCTGCTGTGGAGCTGCGGTATTGCGTCTGCACCGCCAGGAAGGAAGTGTGCGGAGGAGGCCGTGTCTGCTGGCAGCGAGGTGGTGTTCTGAGAAAATGGTGGTGTATCTTCTATCTAGACCGCTGCCGGGGCGTGTGAAACGCTTGTTTCTCGGATGAAATCATGACTTGGGTGCTTACTGCAGTGCAGCTATAGAAAAGCCTGGTACCCGCTGCCTGCTAGGTGTCACCAGAGCTTTACTACACACCTTGTTTTTGAGTACAAAACATCCATTGATAATAGGAGAATCCAGATCGTATTTTGGGTTTTCTTCAGATTTGTGAGGGAGAGCTGTGGAGGCTTCTCACGTTTCAGCCGTCATGTGCAAAGTGGTGAGCGAGGTTTCACTGCGGTGCTGTCAGGAGTTCTGCAGCTCTGGGTAGTGCTGTGCTGTCCCTTTTAGTTCTGGAAACAAACAAAAGTCCTGTGAATTCCAGAAACAATGTGAAATTTTTATTTTTTATTTTATTTTAATCTGAGGGAAGCATGAGACCATGGAGCGACTCGCAGTTGTTAAGAGCATAGTGCTACAATGAGGTGCTTCTATTGAGAGGATCCTAAACTCTCGAAGTTCTCACATTTCATTTCTGAAGAGCAGACGAATTTCTTAGAGTCAGATGTGAAGTTTTCCTCCTAAACCTAATGCTTTAAATTACAACTGGTATCAGCTGTATAGTATCCCTTTGTTCTTCTGGAAAGCCATTGTGCTCCTCAACAAGAGCCTCACACTGCACTGGTAAGCAAGGCCCAGTGGAATTCAATTTATTACCTCATAAGATGCAAAGCCACCTTGAAACAAGAAAGTTCTACAACTGCAGTTAGATTTAAAGGAGGCAGTTTTGATAGTGTTAGAGTAAGAAAGGTGATGCATTTGATCTGGCACAGCGTTTTTAACAAAGGAACTTCTAGATTCTGGCTCTTTTGAGTGTTGAGTTGCCGCATTGAATTAAGTTCAACAGGCAAACTGGTTAGCAGTCGTTCTGCCAGATTGTGCATACAAGACAAAACGAAGATGGTATTGAGAATCCTTTGCTCCACAGTTTTTGAAGTATTTGATGGCCTCAGTAGATTTCTGGGGACTTCTGAATTGTTACCCTGTGCACCTTGCCTAACTCATATAAACTTTGCTGCAGTCTCCTGATAGTCATGTGCATTCTGTAGTCAGTAAGCATATCATCCATCTCTGTAAAAGTATTTTCAATTAGCTAAAGAACATAAAGAATGCTCTGGGGGGAAAAAGAAATCTTTGAGAGCTTAAATAAAGCACTCTGCTGACATTACTTCTTAGTACAGTATAATAGGACTTCACTGTACAGGAAGGCAGGAGTACTTCATCCTTTTTATTTCTCAGGTAATTAAGATGCTGTAATTCATGTGTGTTGTCTCAGAAAGCTTTACTGTGGATCAGTGAACGACGGCAGTTGAATGAACAGTAGTGATAAGCAGTGTTACTTTTTAGCTGTTATGTAGCTTTAACATCTTTGTAGGATTGAAATGTAACCTATCGGGGTTCTTATACCCAATTTTAAACTGGTAGTAAGTTAAAACTTACTACAGTTTTCTCAACAAAGTATATAAATGTGTACTAAAGATAGGAATGAATACTGTTAGCAGAACAGTTCCCTAGTGATCTGAAGGTTGAAAATTGTATTTTGCAAGAAAATATTTTTGGACCTTTTCAGAAAAACATTCTTGAAAGTGAAAGTCGTTCCGTTCTTGGTTTTAGTAACCTTTATTTAACTGTTCATCTTACATTTTTTGCTATTTTGAATTTAAGTTGTAGTCTCAATTTGCATTTCTCAGGAGGCAGAGAATGTGCTTTCTTCTCCTATAGTTTATACCCACATTTAATCACTATTATCCTTTAATTGTAGTTCTTATTCAACTTATTGGGTTTTAAGTTATTTTTCTGTATAAGAGTAGTTATTCTGGATGTGGTGGTTTCAGTGTACCTGAGCAAATTGAAGCATGATTTGAGCCATACGTAATTTATTGCAGTTCTCAAATCCCACTAAGAAATTTTTCCAGCCATCTAATAATTACTTTAGAGCTTTAGGATATACTGTTTCTTATTTTTCCTTTGTTGTGTTTTAAAATATGGACAACTAGAATGTGTTCAAATGTTGGTTAGGTCTGTACTGTATAGATCTACAATCCTTTTGTAAGTTTACACTGTTCCTACAGAGATTATGCCTGCTCTTTTTGCTTCAGTTTGCAATATACAACGCAATATCCCTGATTAATTAGATGTTAAATATTAGTTTGAATGTGATGTATACATTACAGCAGTTCACTGGTAATAAGTCTCTCTTTTTTTGCTGTAATTGCAACAAACCTGGAAGCTCACATTGAAGTCTGATGTTATTAACCCAATATCTTTTAGGATGTAATTCTGAATCTGAAATGCTGTGGATCAACAAAAACTTTGTTATTTTTATTTACCTTGTATAAAATTTGAGTAAATAAAATTCTATTCAGAAAAAAAAAAAATTAACAGAAATAGGCTTTGTTGTGTGAAACATAAATTTGAGTTGTAACCACCAGAGGGAGCATGCTGTATAGTCAGGACTCCCTTAAAAGTGCCTGCTTGTGACTGACAGATTAATTCACATTCCCCATTATTTTCTCATTGGGAAAGAGTGCAACTGGGAATTAACAATCAGTGTTAAATATTGAGTACCAGAAAACCTGTGTATTCACTTTAGTTTGTCAGTATTTTTATTTCATAATATAAAAATGTGAGCAGTTAATCAGTTAAAATGGGGGGGGGGGGGGCCCGGCCCCGGAGAAGTGGGATTTCCTTGTACTTTTAAAATGTTGAAAGCTTTTCCTGATTTGTTTTTCATAGCTTACTGAAGATGCTGGTAGACCACAAATAGAAGAACCTGTAAATCAGGACCTACAGGAAGGTAGTACAAGAAAAATACTTATTTACATACTTCCTGCTATTGTGCAGCAAAACTTGAGCAGTCAGTTAGAAGCCCATTAGTTTTCATTTTTATGTGCTTTCACTGAATAGTCCTATTGAACTCAGTGGCAATTCCCATGGTTGAAGCTAGAGGTTCCTACATTTGATTTCCTTGTATTCACCTAACAGCAGTGACACCAGCTCCAAATGGTAGGTGAGGTCTTGTGTGTGAGGAGGGGTGCCTTCCAAACCTCTATACTTTCACACCCTTGAATGAGAAATCCATGCTGCTTCTTCCCATCCCCATCACTTCATCCTCTCTATTTTGCACCCATCTAAACAGTACACTGACTGAAGAATGCAGAAGAGACACAAGACCTGTTTTGCTATGTACAAAATGAAGCTGCCATGATGCACAATGAACAGAAATGGCTTGTGGAGAAACCTAATCTGTGGGTTAAGTTCATCTCTTTGTACAAGTAAGATTATAAACTTTAAAGATGTGGCAATTTGATGCAATTTGTATATGACATGCAACTGTTGCAGACAGGCTAAAAGGGATTTATTTCTGTAGCCTGGCTTCTAGCAGTCCTGAGTATGTGAGTATGGGGGCCAGTTATCCTAATATTGATGCTTATGATATAAAACCAAATTGTGTTTCAGGAATGTGTTAATTTAATGCATGCAATTAAAAAAAAAAAAAAAAAAAAAAAAAAAAGGGTATTTCTAAATATATTTTTGTTACAAGATTTATTGAGTTATAATGCTGACCAGAAGGGTCTGGGAAAGCATTAATGGAGGAAAAGTATTTAACTAAGTATTTAAATACACTGTACAAACTTGCACTGTCAAAGCACAGAACAAAATACTGACTTAAATTGAGCTACATCCATTTTATCTCAATTCACTTAGCATTGGCTCACTAAGCGTGATACGTTCCAGGGTGTGTGTTGTTGTGCTTCATTAGTCTTGCTTCAGTGTGAAATGATCTGAAAAGTATAATCTCATTATCTGCAGTTAATTGTTGATCATTAGCTTGTACTTAAGTCTTGTCAAGCTTGAATTTCAAGATTTAAGCTGGAGATACTTCTCCTATATTGGCATTTCTAATTAGAAAAGCAATATTTGTTAGACATCTCAAAGTTGTTAACCTGTAATTCAGCACTGAGCCTGCTGAAGTTGAAGAAGCATTTTGGCAACATTCTAAGAAACATGATTTGAGTTTTGGGTGGTCTTGTGTAGAGCCAGGAGGTTATGGGGTTGCTGGTTTGGTGGGGGGGGGTTGGTTGTTTTTTGGTGGTTTTTTTTTTGTTGTTGTTGTTTTGTTTTTTCCCAGCTGATGTACCCATTTTACTGTATGATAAGACAAATTGTTCTCCTGTTAACTGGAGTGTTAACTGTTAATGTACATGAGGTGCATTTAGAGTGAGGTTTCTGTACATCACTGTACACTTAGTGATATTGCCCTCGACTATAAAATCTTGGGAGCTAAGGTTTCCTTAGGACATAAATTTTTTTGTTTTATTGAGATCGGAGGGGAAACCTGTATTTAAGAATATTATTGTATATGTAACTTTCTGGGAGGAAAAAAGGGTGTATAGGTACCATCGTCAGTAGCTGATGAAAGCTAGACGACTGTGTGTCCTGGTTCTGCTGAAGTGCAATGCATGAGACCTCGTGTTAGATTTTAGCTAATCCAAGTGCGTGTTTCACACATGAATCAGTCTTCACAACTTCTCTGCTTTCAGAGCAAATCAAGGATTACAGTGCCCCCTACAGCTCTGCGGTTTTTGTTTTTTTCTTTGAATCCTTTGGTCGAGCTAAATGCAGATACTTGCCAGATACACTACCAGTAAAAATAATAGTGGCTCAGGGAAGCCTTTTTTATTGTTCTTTATTTTTTCAATTTTTAAGAATGATCTTCAGTTTCTAGTTGATTTTCTCCGTTGCTTCTCAGAGATTTTCATCTGTCCCTGAGCTACTTATTTCTGTCTTATTAGCACTGGTGCACTGTGATGTTGGAAATTGCTGGTTGTGGCTCTCCTGAGCAGAAACTAAATTCAGCTAGAGAAGGGTATGCTGAGAAGTCTGTGGTGACTGTGATTTCCCCTTCTTGACCACTGCTTATTGAAGCACGTGCTCCTGGACATGTGATGGGGATGCAGCTATGCAGCTCTTCCCTAGTTGATTTAAGTGGAGCAGGAAGAGAAACCCAAAACAGGAAAGACTGATTTAAATTAAGACAACACTGGCTTAAGAAGAAGTGACCATAAATAAATGAGAGCTGATAGACTTGAATTCTATGAGCTTTAAGTCTTGGAAGACCAAGGGTTCAGAACAGTATAATGAAAGGAATTATGTCGCATATTTGTGTATGATAAGTTTTTGGACTTAACCTGAATATCTCCTCCAGTCTCATGCCTTTAATGAAGCTTCAGTCTGTGAGGAAGTTCTCTCAAAATTTTAATGAAAGATTTCATTCCAAATAGTTTTCCTTGACCTATAGAGTTCTTTAGAAGTCTGTGATATGTCTCTGTTTTTATTCCTAAGGGTTTTTGCAGAGACTTGGATTGTGGAGATGGTTGACCTTTTTCTTAAAAAAAAAAAAAAAAAAAAAAAGAAAAAGGGCTGGAGTGGAAGTGGTAGAGATGTCCAAGTCCATGACTTGGAAGTTTTCAGGAAGTTTGGGAGAATTGAACGTTTCTCCTTCACTATTTCTTGAAAGCATCCTCCTTCAGGAAAATGCTTAGGCATATGTTTGTCAGCTGCTCACGTGTTATAACATAGGTGAGGTGCCTATGAGGTAGAGAAGTATAAATTTTGTTTGAAAACTGTAGTTACTATGGCCAATTAAAATCAAGAGTATGCATGGCTTTGCTTTTGGGTGAGGAAAGGAGATGACCTTTCAAATCTTGACCATCCAAATACATTTAGAAAAAAATTTACATGGCTTTTTCTCTTACGTCAGCCGATTTGGACTTAGATGTTCCTTTCTTTTTCTTAATGAAAAGGAGAAACCTCTATTCTTTGATGTCACACAAAATTATGCATGCTTCATGCTGGGCAGCTGATGAAGGGAGCATTTTCTTGTCACACCTGTTTCTCAGCCAGTAAATTCTCCTTGATGCAGGTGGTAATGAATCATATATTTTTCAGTTTTATCAGGATTCTCATCAGTTAGGATTTCACGTTCAGAACTGTGGGAAACTTCAGTGTGATGACTTAAGGTTTCTGGTGCTTTCTAGTTAATTTTTTTTTATAACAGTAAATCAGACTCTGAGATGTTCTGGACTCATTAGATCCAATGCAGCATGGAGTTTACAGGATACAGGCTGGAATTCTGATGTGGGTGTGTGCTGATCTTATGCTGTATATCCCATATGGTTCATTAATTGAGTTTCAAATACCTACCTGGGACAGTAGATACCTGGTAATCTGGTGAAAATATAGGAATAAAGCAAAATGATTTTTGCAGGAAACATCTTCATTCACAGTACTAATCAGAAAAGGCCAGTTAGATTTTTGTGCCGTAGAAAAAAATGCATATTTTTGAAAAATAAAGAGGGCACCAGGAACAAAGGAAGCATTACAAGCATTAATGTACCCTTTTACATATAAAACTTTGTTCCATTAAAAGATTCGTGTTCAGATTAGCCGCAAGGTTGGCCTTAGCTTATGCTATTGGGCTAGTCAGAAAGATATACAAATTCGTTCAAGGTTTTTGGTAAAGGCTCTAAAAGTTAATTGAAAAAAAGCATTTTGAAATGGGGATGATCTGTGAAATACTGTAGCCTTGGTCTTGCATTCTTTCACAGTATGTGGGATTCAGGGAATAAACCGTTCCAAAGTACTTTTGTCTTAAAACAGCTGCAAGAACATTTTAAATTTGTTGCTGAAGAAGAGATTAAAAATTGTAAATGCTTCCAGCTGCTCTGATTTAGGAGCACTATTGTTAAACTTCTGCTATTTTCAACATGCATACCTGTGTTTGTAGGAATACTTCAACATATACAGGACAAAATGTACTAATGTTATTCTCTTGCTTTTTTTTAAGTGACTAAAACAACAGGGCTTATGCCCTGACTGTTTAGGATGAGTATCTTCATTATTAATGCAGTTCAAAGTAAATTGATTTCTCTTAATTGAAACAGATATTTGTAATACCATGTTTTGGACAGCATTGCTATTGACATCTTAAAGTATTGCTTTGACCTCAGGAAAATTTTTTTTTTCCATGTTTTACTATTCATAATTTATTTTTTCCTAGATCACAAAATAGTGTTTTCTTTAGTGGTGCTGCATGTCTTTATTTTCTGATCCTGGTTGAGGTTATCAGTCCTCTTTTTGGTCTTTAGAATGCATTTGAAATTAAACATAGAATAGAGAGGAAAAATGCTGAAGACCTGGGCTTCAAGATAATCCTGCCAGAGGCCTCCGATTCTTATTGGCAAAGATAAAGCTAGCATGAAGTGATAGTAAAGAAGGGAAAATTTCTGTAAAATGCTCTGGAGAGTTTCAGTCAGCATTGTTTTTTAATATAAATTCTGTTTATGTTCATCTGCAATACTTCCCCTCTCTCCTTTTTTACTTCTGTAAACTCATGGCTTCATTTGCATTTGTTTGTTAGGTGTTGGTTTTGGTGTTTTTTTTCTCAGCATGAAAGCCAATGACAGAAGGAGTCACGAATGATAGAGGTAGATTCTGTTGTGACACGGAGACTGAGTTCAGCCAACTTAAAATACAGGTTATAATACATTGGTGGGACAATGCTGCCCTTTGATTTTATAATTTCAGTTCTTGAGATTTGTGAGAAAGTAGACCAGTAAATAATGTCACAGGTGTATGCCTGATACTTATTGAAAATCAGCACCTGTCAAATCTGAATAGCCTAGCTCTGAGACTCAGCTAGTGCCCTAAACTTAAGCATCTGTTATCTGTTGTATTTAAACCGTGAAAGAGACAGAGGTGGATGGTATTAACAGTGCTTTCTAGGAGGTTAGAAGACTTTTCTCATACTTTCTTTTTTTCTGTGGTTCACATTATATATTCCATGAGATGCTGTGGGACTTCATGCTGAGCTGTCATTATTTTTAATGAAAGATGAAATTCTGAGACAGAGCAAGAGTCAACAAAAGCAATGGCACTCCATTTCTGGTTTGGGAAAAAAATCTGGGCTCTTCAGTGTTCAGCTTTTAAGTTACAATTAGAAATTGCTTAAGCAAATCTGAAATAGTGGTGGATATTTCTGGTGTTGAAAATATAGTTTGGCTGCCTTCAGTAAGCTATCAGATATGAACTTCTGTCTTTCTTTATTTTAATTAAGGAAAAGCTATAGCTCTTGGTTTGTCATTTTAAGACTAGATATGATGCAATATTTATCATCTCCCTAGAAGAGTTCTACTGATTAGTTACAACGTTTTGTTTCTACCATTTATGTCCAGTTCATCAAGTTTCAGCTTCCTGGAATTGTCTTTTGTTATGCCTGTATCTGCTTGTTTAGGACCCTATGTTAGATATACTCATTTTGAGAATTTTGTTAGCAACACTTTCTGTTTATAATGTTAAATTGAGTTTCTTGACTCAGTCTTTAGAATCTAAGATTTATTATAAATTTTTATCAAAACTTTTTGAAGCTTTTCCATTCCTTAGATTCATAGATAAGATTTTTTTAAATACATTAAATATTTTCATTGTATTTTGTCTTTATGCCAAGATTAGTGCTGACTTTCTTGGTTCCTAAACTTTTGTGCTGAGGATGGGTGTACTTTGTGAGTTAGTAGCTTTTGTAGTCTATTTTTATGGAGTCTTTCTGTAGAGTTTCCTGCCAGTGTATATGTTTGCCCTTATTGTTGCTCTGAGAGCCAAAAAAAAAAAAAAAAAGCATGGATTTCTGAGTCATACTGTAAACTTAAATGGAAATAAAACCTGTGATGTCAACTACTGCTCTGAAGAATTGATGCAGATATTGATAATGAGGCATAAACAACAGACACAAAACATTGTTAACTTATTTACCTAACAAAAACATACTGCACATGAAGTGTTTAGCAAAATTAAATGTATATCCATTACATCACAAAAATTATTGACAATTAACTGCTTTTAATGTATAGAATTTCTGCATGTAGTCAGACCTACTTGTTAAGTGGAAGGCACAAGAAATCCTTTCGTGGATACCTGTTGACTAATTTGCATTAAGAGGTATTTCTCCGTTACCTCTATTAGTATTGGCTTAAATCCTGAATGATTTCATTATCTACGTAAATGCTTAATCTCTTGGAAACCCTGCTAAGCTCTTGCCTTCACTGAAAGCTATGATAATTTGTTGTAGTTATTTCTGTATTTAAATAAATTGTTTTCAGATTCTATGAAATGTTCCTCTGTTTTCCTTTGTAATAATGGAGAAGTACCAATTTCATCCTTTCTATCATGTTATTTTACATTGTTTTGCTGTTTGCTCTTAGTAGTTCCTTCAAGCCATACCAGGTGTTTGTTGGGGCTTTTTTGATGTGTTTTTTTTTTTTTTTTCTTTCAGTTTGTTGGTGCAGCCACTGCAATTGTATATTTGTGAAAACTGTAATTTGTGCTGCAATTACTCTACTGGCATGAAATATTTCACTTATTCAAAATTGTCGTGCATCTTTTTGAAAGGAACATGGAACCATTTGTAAAAGGTTGCAAAATGAAGTGCTGCTTTAATTCTAGATGTGCTATGGTCTTACTGCATATATGTAAGAAAACTAGCAAGCCTTTTTAGTTTTTTCTTTTTCCCACTGGAAGTCTATTTCATTGCCAGTATGTATTTTCTGTTGCTTTAGAGGAAAAAAGTGCCATCAACTCTGGAAAATGCAGAATATTTCTTTTGGAATCTCATAATAAAGTTGAAAATAAGCTGAACAAGCAGTTCAGTGCTCTTGTCCTCTCCAGAATGCTGACTGCTTGGTCAATAGGGAGGATGTAAAAAGTGAAATTAATCAACAGGAAGATAAAATGGTTTCCTGTTAAATATTTAAAAAAAAAAAAAAAAAAAAAAAAAAAACAACGAAAGCAAAGACAAAAAAACCCCCCACAACCCTCATGTAATATAAAGAGGAATATATAAGCAGAGAAATAAAGAAGATGGCAATGGAACTGCTTTGAGAATTGCTTCTGCACTCTTGCAGTTGAGCTAATCCAGGAAGTGGAAAAAATTCTTCTGATGTATCTTTAGCCTTTGTGGTCTGTAGTGCTACTTACTTGCTACCTTCTTACCAACAAGTTCTTCCAAGTCTCGGGAGGCTTCACAAAAGATTCTCAAAACAAATATGCAGTGATCTCAGTGATGAGGGAGTTTCTCTTTAGAGCCATAATCTGAACTCAGATAAAGCAGCCTGGTAAGGACTTTTCTCCTAGTAGAGAGACTGTTTCCTAGCAGGATCTTATCCTATTTCCACGTCTATCATTGAATGCTCTTTTGGATGCATGGCTCTGTGCCCACTCCTTCATCTGTTGATGAAGATAGTTGTTTTGGTACTCATAACCTTTGCTAGAAGAGTATGGAATAGCCAAATCCTTGTGGATAATTGTCCTTATTGCTCCACAGTGAGCATGCACTAAGATAGGATAAGGTGCAATACCAGATGTGGGAAGCCACTCTGTGATACGGGCACTTTCTCTGAAAACTGTTACTGTGGCATTTCTGAAGAAATTCTGTCTTTTGAGATCTGTGAAGAAGCCATCTGGAATGCCATTTACCCTTCTGTAGGATCTGTGCATTTAAACATACTGCTACATTTAGCTAAACACTGCTTTAGTCACTGTTTAAAAACAAAGAAGCCTACAAATTTCTAATTAACACGTTTCTAATGAATACATCTTACCATTGTGTAATACATCATTTCAGAACTACAAAATAAACCACTGTTGAATGTTGCTAAATTTCATGTAGGTACATTTTCCAATGCTTCTTCAACACCTAGGACTTATGTTCGTCTTGACAAGATGGTAGACAGTTTTGTCTAGGCCTGGCTCTTGCTGTGTATGGCTGGTCCAAATGGTATCTGAAATTCCTTCCAACCTTTCCTTTTCCATGATTGTACACTGAATTGCCATTCTAATGGCTGTTAGTCTTCCTATAAGCAATGATTAACATGAAAAGATTCCTACAGACATGTAATCACAGTTTCAAGTTGTCATTTAAATGATTCATAGACTATGGAAAATGCACACTTTCTTTCATGAGAATTTTAACAATGTTCTATGAAAATGTTCTTGTATCTTATTTTTTCAGGAGAGTAAGTTCACACGTTCCAAGAACAGCAAGTTGCATTTCTGGACAGTTTGAGAGCACATACATCAGCTAATATGTATAGTAATGATGCAAATAACTTGCATGGTGAATGTGAATGTTACAGTGAATAAGCATAATGAATCTCAAGTTTGCAGTTTTAGTACCTGTATTATTTATTTATATTATTTATAATGGAGACTGAAAATAGCACAGCATCTTGTTATTGCCACTTGGTGTTTTAAAAATTTGCTGCTCTGAAATAAAGACTACTAACTGGGCACTACTGTTCAGTCAGATAAGGCCTATCTGCTCTAGAGGCTGATTTTCCTGTGAACACTTGGAACCACTCATAAATTAAGGAAGCATGCCATATTGCTTGAAAAATCTTTTATTTCTAATTACATGCCAGTCTGCAAGATATGAACTTTGAATTTCAGCTTCTAAATGAAATGAATTTCTGGCAGAAATTAGGACTATTTGATAGAGGTAATAAGCCCAGATCATGGGAGACAGATGAAACTTGGTGTGTTACGTACAAAAACAAATCTTCACACTTGAAATTTAAAATCTTTTGAATTCTACTGGAATACCTGACTGAATTGTAGCTGTCAGTCCTTGTAGTTAGAGATTCATAAAGGTCAGGTGGTAATTACTGTTTTGTAATTACAATTAAAAAAAACCAAAAAACAAAAAACTCAGAAACAACCAACTATGGGATTTCATGGAGAAAGTCTAGACAGAAGGTTAGCCACCTTAAGGATGAAGACAAAACTTTCCAGAGGAAAGTATCAGTAATTCATGCATGCTGTCACTGTACTGATGTAATGCATTGTCCCTATTCCTTGGTGGAACAGAACAGAGCTTGCTTTCCCTCTGTAGCTTCCAGAAGGTTTTCCACAGTTAGAGCTTATCCCTGAAACAATGGATGTAAGCTAATAGAGACCTCAGATTTTCATTTTCTAGCCTTCTGGGAATGATACTTTGAGCAGCCCACATGATGTTTGGAGTTCTATATCTTGTTTCAATTGTAAAATGTATACATTATTAGTAAATTAATTAGTAACTAAAAACTATTACCTTCTGCCCTCGCAGCTATTATAAATAATCTAAAAGCTTGTGGCAATAGCCTTTTGCCAAAAGCCAAGTGTTCTTCTAATTGAGTTCAAGTATTGAAAGGATTGCATGTATCACTTTTTTTTTTTTTTTTGAATGAGAGCAAAATGAATTCATGTCTTTCCTCCTGCAACACTTCTTTTGTTCTCAATTTCTTTGTTACAGCTGTGCACTGGATACAAGGTTGTTGAAGTGTACAATGTTGAACATATGCTGTGGGTACAATTAGTTCCAAAGCCCCTTCCTGCATGATTTCCTTCCCACTCAAACCCCCTCCCCCCAGTTTGCAGTGTTTGGGTTTTTTTTTTTTTTTGGTTGTGTCAGCATTCCCAAAGCTGCTTATATATATAGTGTCATAGAAGTAAGGGGTGGTGAAGTGGAGAAAAAGTCCATATACCTCCAGCTCATATGCAGTGGTGATAGAAGACTTATTAGGGCCAGTTTAAATATTAAAAAAATAAAACAAAGCATAGTATACACTGGGATTTTCTTATTCAAAACTAGTTTTATTTTTAAAAATAAATTGAATGCATAGCACTCACAAAGATTCCATTGTTTTGGACATTCTGCATTTAGGAGCACCATTCTTATTTATGCTATAGAAAACATTTTGGTTCTAGTAGTAAGAACAGTGTATCTTTAATGTACACTGGTAAAGCCCTTTTAAATAATACATCAAAACTGTTCAGTATACATTTTCTCTGCAGTCACTATGAAGCTGTAGTGTCAGAAAAAAAAAAAAAAAGACAGACTAAGCAATAAATTAAAAACAAACAGCAAGTAGTGGATTTCTTTACAGTTGACCTAATGTCTTAAAAATTGTCAAATAAAAATATCCTATTAAATGTAAGTTGGTTGTATTAACTAACTGAATAATCCCCCCACCCATTATCATTCCAGTGTTAAGTATTAGTTAAATTTTTATATATCAAATGCCTATGGGATAACTTTACTAATACTCAAAAAAAAAAAAAAAAAAAAAAAAAAGCCTATACTGATGCATCACAACTAAAGATGATGAGTTAGCTGATGAGATTTTCCAGAAAAGTTTGCTACAGGCATCTGCTGTTACTTCAAGTCATGGTCTATTACAAGACTGTACATTCATAGTATCAGAGGTAGTTCAGAGCACTGAGGACTTGGATATAGCATTGCAACAAAATGAAACTGGTAGAAGGAAGTCCATTTCCCTTTTACATGGGTAACAATGCTGAATAAAAAGCATGGCATCTTATGAGGTGGAAAATCTCAACATAATGCTACTTTCAGACAAGGGGAAATATTCATTAATAAATGGAGAGGTGAGGAAAAAGATTTTACACTTAAAAGTAAGAATTGACCCTATGCCTATTTCAAAGCTGATTCTCAACAATAAACTTTTGTTATCCTCCTAAACCCCTCTTGACTTAGACTTTTATGCTACAAAAGCCCTCAACAAAAATTGGGATTTATACAGAAAATAGAACAAAAGGAACAGGATTTATTCTCCTCATCAATAAATAGATTTTTTTGTAGCATGTTATCATTCAATTCCAGAGAGAATGAATGTATTTGCATTCTCTCCATTCTGAACATAATGAGAAGGCCCTCTCTCCAGTGACAAAGCACTCACCTTAATATTGGTAGCATATCTTAACTGCCCCTATTTTCAAAGTGGTCTTTGTGAGATCCCCAGTGGGATGGTACAAGTTTTGTAAGTGTTGCTACTAAGATGAGCAGAAGATGGAGATGGTAAGAGAACAACAACAACAAAAAAGCCTTAAGTTTACAACCTATAAAGATATTTTAAAGTAGTAAGAATCCTGTCATCCAAATTTCCTCCCATATTCTACCACAGGAGAGGCTGGTACTTTTTATTTTTTAAGCAGTTTTGCCCTACTATCTTCATTACCATTTTCATCCAAGAGTTGGACAAGTGAAGCTTTCTACTCTCAGACAGCCTGCTCCACAGGAGATAGTGTAATTTCATAAAGTTATGTGATTAACATCTTAATTGTGGTAAAGCAGTTCACTCTGCAACACATTTTGACCCACCCATTTAGAAGAGTAGATCTCTGCATTTTCTTCTGGAATTCCCAAACAGAATATAAATTTGCCCCACTATTACCTGAGAATTTCCCTCCACTGTAAGCCTGACACAGATTGGATTTCTATTTGACTGCTTTTTTTTTTTTTTTTTTTTTTTTTGTAGAATTGATACTGTCAGTACAAT